CACACACACACACACACACACACACACACACACACACACTATTTTCACAAGATACCGCCCCATAGCTACGTGATCAAGTGTTTGGACATACTATGACGGATAAAATGAGTTCATCCATAGACATGGCATCCTTTTGCATGGTTATCGCTATCACAATGATCACCAAGATAGCGGAGTAAACAAAGGCACACGGTAAATGACGTCATCAGCAAAATTCTATAATACTCAGGCTTAACAATTAAATTTTGAAATGGTACAATAATAAATATAAATGGTGTTTTAAACGATGATATACAGATCAGTGAACATAGTACAGCAATACACGCAACTATGGGAAGAATCTTAAAAGATACAACACTGTCGTTCGTTTCGTTAAAGCTTTCAATATGGTCGGATGATGGATAGAATTTGTTTTAAAATAATATTGACAAATAAATACAGAAATTGGACAAACTTAAATACAAAGACTGTAATGTGCTAAATTTACTGGAAGGAGAATCCTCAGTTTATGAATTAACCTGTTGTTAAGATTTTCTGCTTTAAGACGTCTAGTGGTGCACAATTGAGTCCATTATAGAGAAAACATTAATGTTATACACTGAACTACTGAAATGGTGTACACGAGAATGGCCTTTGTTTTGTTCTCTTATGTAGCTACGAGTTTCCGCTCTTTCACCGAGGTACAGCTTATTTGTCCAACGTACAGCTGTCCACACTGTTTGCTTATTTTTTTTTGACAGTAGGTAAATCATTGGGATTCTTTGCACATGAAAGATGTCGTAAATTGAAAGTGATTTAACGTACTGTGTACCAAAATATCACAGATATTGTTTGTATCTATAAGATTATGTTTGTGGTATGATTTTCTGTAAGTAATTTGTAATTTTTCAATATTATGTTTTCATCTTTTTTGTTTTTCCTCTTAAAACTAAGGTAAGGTTGATTCGAGAGGTTTTGTGTTTACCGTAGATACAACATCAAGCACTAAAGATTTGTGCTAGTCTCTTCTCGTGAAAAAAAATAGTCATTTATTGTGTTTTACTATTAAAGTAATAACTTTGTAATGCTGTTTGAGTAGGACGAACGGAATTGATAAGTATTTTGTAATATACACAAGTTTCAGTACGGTAGTTTTTCAGGCGAAGTTCAAAATCTAAAAATGGTAGGTTTTTACGGGAAGTGTGTGCGTGTTAACGTGCAAAGTTGAAAGATACGATATAATAATAGAAGTTTCTTTGCGTTTTCTCTAAACATTAACGCTATATCTACTACATCATCGATATATGTGTGTTGTGTATGGTAAATAGTTTATTTTTCTATGCTACTGTTCGAAATATATTTTTCAACATTCTCGACAAACAAATTTGCAAAGAACGGTCCCATTTTTGTTGGCATAGTAACACGACAGATTGTTTGTTATAACTGGTTGCTGCCATAACAACACGGCAGGTTTATAATAGCTGACTGTTGCTATAGTAACTCGGCAGGTTTGTTTCTAATAATTGGCAAGCAAATGATGATTTATAAGCATAAGGAAAAGTTTTATTGATACTTATGTTTATAAATCGTTGTTTGCTTACCTATTATTATATCAGCATAATCTGCTTCCTTACTCAGGATTTGTTTATAATAGTTGTCGTTAAAAGAAAATCGCAGTTAGATTTATAAGTAGCTCGGCCAGACAATAAAAGTATGTAGGAGATCTTGGGTTTTCCTAAGGTTTAAAAATATTTAAACGTAAAAAGCTGTTAACTTGCTAGGTAATAGCATATATGTATGAAGATATAGTTTTCATATATCGATGAAAAATGGTTAAAATATTTATGCAGCAGAAGATATATTTTAACTTACTGCTATAAACAATAAACAGAAGGTTTAGGATAGCATGTCCTCAATGGGAAGAAATAATGACGTTTCCTCAAATCGAATATCTCATTTGGGGAGATGTTTTCACCGAAATATTTATTTCCAAAGTGTGTGCACACGTAACATTGGTCAACTTAACAGATTTCTTCCAAAAAACTAATGTTACATTTAGTGAAGATAAACTTTAAGATTAATCATTACACATTTTTTTTTGCACTTAATCAAGACTGACCTGAGAGAACTGTGGGTTTTAAACTAAGAGTCACCTTATTATTTATCAGATGTGAAATAAGGAATCTGTTTGATTTTTTTAAAATCTAAAGGTGAAACACTAAGTAGTTTCAAGACTGCCTCGGTTGCATTGTGAAGTGATTTTTGACTGTCGCACTCAACTATATTACTCCCCTACACTTATATATATATATATATATATATATATATAAAATCTATAAACTAGGCACTGTAAATACCACTCGGGGTTCTGAGGTACATACTTCAAAAACTTAGATTGTAACATTCAGAAAGCACATTATTGTGTGTAAAATATAATAGTTATTGCGTGGAAGAAGAAATTGGGTCAAGATTATATTGACCAACAAGCTTGAACCTATGTCACGACATAATGTTTATTTTCATCATTCCGGTAGCATGTAGTCAGATCTAGGACAGTTACCAACTACACCATATTAGGACTAGTGTTAGTAAAATTTATTAAATTTTTTAAATGAAACCGAGATCACCTACAGTTTACTTTTCACCCTTAACTTTGCATAGTATTTGATACATTTGTGCCTCAACATTATAGTATAAATTATATTAATACATACTCAGGCCTATTTCTCATATAATACATATCATGCCTTTTGTATAGTAATTAATTTATTGGTTCATATTAATGTTTTTATACTTTTGTTATGTATGTGAATTATTGAACAGTTTTGTGCAATACCATTTATTTTTTAGTAGATGTTTTATTACAGAGGAAGTATTCAGATACGTTTCTTATTAACTTTCCTGCTTCATCTTTCGGTTTGTTTAAGATCAAATTGTTAGCATATAGACTGTTCCAGCAAAACAAGGCATAAGATGAAAAGGTATATAGCATCTAACGACAGTTGAGGGCATTTTGAATAAAAACAGATTCATTCAGAGTACCGTAAACACATACACATGTATCGATATATTATTATTATTACTTAAATCTGAGAAAAGCTAGATTGGTATTTAGTTAAATGAGTAACCTGTCAGTTTTTTGTTGGCATCTTGTCCTAGAGAGATTAGACTCTGCTTGTATTGGGAGGTAGTATTGTCACAAAGTCGTCCATAGTGTCACCCATAATATACTTGGCACGGCCTGCTTGTTAGGGCGCTCGACTCGTAATTTGAGGGTCGCGGATTCAAGTTATCGTCACCGCACATGCTCACCCTTTCAGCCGTGGGGGTTTAAAATATGACTGTAAGTTCCATTATTCCTAGAGTTGGCAGTGGGTGGTGTTGAGTAGTTAACTTCCCTTTTGTCTATCACTACTAAATTAGGAACGGCTAGCGCAGATAGCCTTCGAAATTCTAAAACAAACTAAACCAAAACATGAGACTACAAAAGGCCGTAAGAAGCAGCACCTACACCCTAAAGTTTTTTATCATAACGGTTCTGTGTATAGATTGTATAAACAGGTACAGTACTTATTACTTTGTCTATTAATTGACTTTAGAATGGATCTTGAACATTATTAAATCGTGCTCTGTTTCTCTTTGTTCTAGGTATGTTCTTCAAATGTAACACCATCTTGCAGCCAGAAACCTTTAAGTTATCCCATTCTAGAGCAGTTTTATGACGTGTTACCAAGATCCCATTACCCAAACCCTCCAGCCCAGTTCTCACTGAGACATGTTCCAGTTTTGGTAAATGTTTTGATCAGGGCTGATGTGTTTCCTCTCCAAACCTGTCCTCTTACGAAAGGTTCGAGTGTTCCTCAAGTAAAAGAAACCATCACTGAACGCGAATTGGGTTTTCTTCTTCTTCAAGTAATTCAAGCTTTGAAATCTGTGCAAACATCAGGAACGGAGGCTATCAATATAAAAAGTGAAGATTTCATGGTTGTTCAAACAAAGCACGACCAGCAGAGTCACATCTTAGTTCTTGGCCAACTCTTGTCTGACGAAACGGAGAGTCTCTTCACCAAATTACAAAATAGTGTTGACGATGACAAAGTCTCCCTCTGCCAATTCGCCCAGAAGACCTTACTCAAATTTCTTGGCGTGGCCACAATTTCAGAAATTAAATGCTCCTCTCGAATTATACTAGGGCCTATCTCAGCAACGACTTTCAGCAATGTAGCTAAAATACTTGATCAAGAAAAATCGTATTCCTTATCTCATGCAAAGGCACTTTTGGAATTTCTATTGTGGGGTCCCGAAATGAATCAATTCAGTAAAACCGCTGAACAGGAAGAAGTAGAGCAATTCTTGCAGCAATGGCTAGATATTCAACGTGCTGAAAGTTTGAATGCACTAACGAACACACTTTCTATTCCTTTAAATATTTATGAAGAAAAACGCTTGTTGTTTTTGATTCGCACTAATTGTAAAGTATTGAAAGAACTTTGGTTAATGTTAAATGATAGCACTTTATAGTTAGAAACACTTTAGTTGACAAATCATGTTTATAGTGTATATATTAACATTTGCAAAATCTAGAACGAGTTTTGCATTGCTTATTCTATGCATAGTTTTATCAGATGTGTAAAAGTTTGAAACATTTATTTAAACTTTAAACTTCTTGAAAAGATTCGGGTTTCACGAATATCAGCTCACTTACAGGTACGCTAAATAATTGTTATGATGAAAATTAAACGTCATCAGGGGCGGATCCAGGATTTCGAGAGGAAGAGGGTTCAAGGCTTGATAAAGGGCACTTTTCCTGGGAGCGCCAGATATTTGATTGATTATCAGAGTTATATGTTTCTTAAATGAAGAGTAAAACAGCTTAAAATAAGTTGAACATTATTTACTATACACTAAGAAATGACAATATACTTGACAGTGGGAACTTATCAAAAGTATAAATTTCTTTCCTAGGTTCTGATAAATTATTCTGAGTGATCCATATTATTGTTCATCAAACAGAATGTTTCCAGATACATGTGCCTTATATTTCTTGTTGTAAACTCTTTCAAGATCGCCCCAATATTAACATCAATATCGAGATGGGCATTCATCAAACACAAAGCAGAGAGACACTCTTCACCCATTCTAATTCGAAGATAAGTCTTAGTTCTTCTGAGACAGAAAAAAAGGAACGCTCAGCGCCAGTGCTTCCTATTGGTAGTGAACACTCATTTATTAACAAAACATGGATATTTTGAAACATTTGAAACAAATCTTTGTCAGTTGCATGAAAGCATTCGATAAGATTCATAGGCGCCTCGATATCAGCAGTTGTATTCCATTTATGCCCACTCTTTCATTTCGCTTTTTAGTGAAGAGAGAGTGGGCATATCCTTTCTCCAGAAGTTGAGCTAGGAGCAACTTGCAGAAAGCTCATCATCTGACAGTTCCACAACTACTGCTGGGATTAGTACAAAGATTTCAGAGCAAGTTCTGTGTTTAGGAATGAATCGAGTTGTCATTTCAGTGAGCAAGTGGTCCAATAAAGATACCTAGACATTCTTCGAATAATAACTAAAGAGTGTCTCAGCAGGTGCATTCTACCTGAATGGTTGCCTGTCCAAAACGCATTGCATGGCCACATTTGCTCACTCAGTTTAACAGTGTCTACATAAACGTCATTAAATTCGGTTTCTACTTTTTCTTGGAAACGCCGAATTCTGTCTATGGAGAGGTCAACTGCCGAATAAGCATGATAACTATCCAAGTCACTCTTCTGAGATTTAGTAGCAAGTCTTTTGACGGCCTCCAGTGAATTATTTGAGATAAGAAATGTAATAATAAAGGCGAAATATTGAAACATGAGCAACAACCCTTGAGCTTCTACCCTAGTTTCTCTATCCTACGACCAGTCCTCTCTTCCTCAAAGTTGGTTGGTAAAACAATGGCTTGAACACACGAACATACATTATAATATAGTTCCTATAAGTTTTAATAGCAGTTGTGCCATTCCGGCCACTTGGTTTTGCAAAAGCTTTTGTGTTTTTGTTGTGAAGAGCTGTTACTGAGTTGTTCAATGAATTTTTAGAGCAACCGCTGTTTTCTGGGAGAGGCACTGAAAAATATGTAAACATTCGTTGACGGAAACAGCCACATTCCTTATTGATGGAAGATTGCATGACGCAGTAACTGACAAGTTTAGCATGTGACTTTTACAATGATATATAGTGCTTCAGGAGCTGCTTATTTAATCCAGCCATGAAAACCCACTCTATCTGATGACATGCATATAGCAGCCCCATCTAATGATTGGCTACGACATTGCAAAATATCCACCTCATGTTTTCGCTATGGACCAAGAATACTATTTGTATTCTTTTCAACAGTAATTCTCTCTGAGAAAATGAAGTTGAAAAAATCATCTATAATCATTAACGAACCTTACACAAACCGTCAACACCTCTTGATTAGCGTGAGGGCCAGTTACTTCATCTGCCATGATAGAAAAGCATCATCAAGCATGAAGGGAGCAGTCAACTTCCGACGTATATGGAATCCAGTGAGTTCAATTATTTCATTCTGGATTGATTTGGACGTTTTACTTTGCATTTCGGTTCCCATACATATGTATTCTGATAAAACGTGTTCATGCTTCGCCATTAGCCTTAAAACAGCATGGAAGTAGTCTCTGTTGAATAAATCAGAATTGATGTTATCCCTGTGCCCTCATAATGCAATATTCTAACGACTGCAAAGTAATAGTACGACTTTAATTATGTAGCTATCAGTGTCGTAATGTTGTTGTCTTTGGTCTGAAAGACAGTGGTCAACAGCTTTTGAGGGTTTCTGGCAATTTCTCCAAAATGAATCTAAGATTTCAAGGCATATTTGTGGTACTGAAGGGAAACATATCTGTCTAGTATTCCCCCTTTCTTTTTTCTTTTCTTTTTTTTTAGCTTTTATCGTACTTCTGAAAGGACTGTGTGACAAGCTGACCATTCATTTCTTGAGGCTTTTGTGTATGGAAAAGTACACAGTATTTGCATAGGCCACTTTCTAAAATTGGGCCAGACACGAGCCAAGGATATTCTTTTAACCATCTAGACTGAAAGTTAAGTGTTGCCTCTCTAGTTTTGGACTCTTTGAATATCTTCTTATTATGAAGTGAATAGTTCTCGCTCGGTTTAAAATTATTTTCTATATAACTTAACCTATCTCGAATTAATAAATCGTCATTATTAAGTTTTGATAAAAGCAATTCACCCAGATCAATGAGGAGAGACTCGGCAGAGGATTGAGACATGCTTGGACCTGGTAGCATAACAGTTGGATGGTCAAAAGTACTTGGATTTGATATGAAAGGTGCAAACCAAACAACCTCTGAAGATCACTCCTTTTTTTTCATGACTGATAACCTCCAAGAAAAGCAGGTGTTGAAACTGTTGGAGTGTCATCATTTTTCGAAGCTGACGTCTCACTCTACCGGAATTGCGAGTTAATCTTGCAAAACTTTGATGCCATTTGAAACATTTTATTTTCTCATTTTTTCTGAAGTCTATCGAGCTCGATGATATTTTTTTCCGAGTTATGAATACAATCTTAAATAATAGTGGTAATGGTGAGCTTCTTTGAACCAAGAGGTCGTGATATTTTGATTTTAAGGACTTTCTTGTGAACATGAAGTACTTGTAAACAAGACGTGAATATGCAACCGATCAGGTTAGGTTGTTATTTGTTGCCTGGCCTAACGACCTCTCGTTTCCATAGCAATAATCTAGCAGACCATATCGCTGCTTCGCTTGAATGTTTAGAGTGACTCATGTCTCATTTTCAACATACACCCGTAAAATCGGTGATGGAGGAAGAGTTTTGATATGGGTTCTGTGTGTATTGGCAAAGATTTAAATTTTTACTGTATGAGGGATACATTTAAACATATGAAAGTCAACGTTTTTATTTTAATTTTTGGAAATACAATATAATTATTTTAATAGATGGAAAACCAATCTTAACTGACCAATCGGTGCTTAGTTTGCTTGGCCTATAAACACCCTTTACGTGGGTATTATAATAATGAATAAAACTATAGGCTACAGAAGATTAATTGAAAAACAGGAAGACAATTATAGACCTATATATATATATATATATAATAAAATACAGTAAATTATCAATTGATTTAATATATAATAATATAACAAGGTTTTTAAGTTTAAGATGTGTTATTTCTTATTTTTAGTTTTGCTTAGGGTTGTTAAATGATCTTGAATTATCGTGAGAACAGACAAACACGTTTATGAAACGCCTTTATGGACCAGAATAACGTAATTGAATTCACCAAAATCGCCTTTTACAAGCTTTACTTGAATAAATTTTGAAACATTGAAGAAAGAGTAAATAAAATTTAAACATTTTGGGTCTGGGTATTTTTTCTAACGATAATAACTTGTAAGATAATGACTTAAAACTAAAAACGTTCAGTTTGTATGAACTTGACTTTTATCATTTGGCAAATATATTTCAGAAGGAGTATGACCGTTATTATGTAGTTCGAACTACTGACTGGATCCGTCCCTGGTCATTAATAACCACTTTTGTCACAAGATACATGTTAAACGTGGTAGTTTCACAAGTTGCATTATAACTACTTGCTTTGAAATTTCTATACATCAGAATACCAGCTCACATTAGATCGTAAAAAACATCAAATCACTGTTTTAGAAAAAATAGAAAAAAATAACAGGTATAAATGGGTCTATAATAACGGACTTTTAAAACCGTAGAGATGTAAGAAATCATAGCAAAGCATTCCAAAAAAAAAAGCATTCTGACATTGTTTGTCTTAGTTTACCTAAAATTCCGTTAAAAATAAATAATTGAAATATCATTGTGACTCAGGTGGATTAACAGCATCGTTTTGTATGCAACATTCCACATTTAATTAACTGATATTAAATAGGTTTTCGCATAATTATCTTAATATTACAGTGTGTTAAGTGTATAGCATTTAATAAACAAACATCAATTTCTATGAACATCGAATCATTTGGAGACGTTACAGCAATAGCATTACTTGTAATAGACAAAATATAACGATTGTTATAATAAAGTATATGATTGGATGTTGGATAAAATCTATTTTTTAGATTTTAAATTATTTTAGGAGTCCGAATCCATACCGATTTCTGATGTCTGCTTCACTTCAGAAATTGGGAATTCGCTGGAAACAACTATTACAACGAGCTTTCATCATCGTTAGTTTTTTTCGTTGTTGTTGTTGTTGTAACGTTCTGTCAGTGAAATGATTTCACATTTGAAATTCGTCCGTAGCATCTGAATGTAATCATAAAAAAATCTTCGAACATCAATGGAATGCTTGTAATCTTGAAATAAATTCAAATCAGCTATTTACTACCTTACATCTTAAATTTGAAAAGATTTCTAAATAATATATCCCCAATTATTTGAGAAGCTAACGTTGAATGAAAACTTGTGTATATTTTCTGTAATTAACTGCTTAAATTTTCATATGGAAGTCCAAGGTTCGAGCCCACGATACGCTGCTCATCACGCTCCTCACCTTGAGTTCTGCAATTCGGTTAAGGGTAGG